ATGTTCAGTATGTGCATTTACATGAATTTGAAAGTGATTACTTGGTGTAATATGTTTCCATGCATAGTGAGTTGGGATGTATTAGCAGAAGTGTGTTGTGTGACTATTGGTGAGATGGAGTATAGACGGCTGAAGGTGCATTGGTGATATGCACAGAGATGTGGAATGTGACGTTTGGATCACAAGCGGAAAGGTGATTAAATGTTGGAATACTCTATCTGTTAAGACCATGAGCAGGTAGAGTGTGAAAGTGACACTTTTTTTACTTCTGTTAGATGGAGATCCATTATCCACTTACGTTGAGAAAAGTGATGCAGTGATAGAGGATCATCCTGTGGACTTAGGATCTATAGTGGTTTACGAGTTAGACTTGAGTTAGTGACCAATCTAGTGAGCATGGTGGGAGATAAGAAGATATATGTTCTCGAGGTGTGAGCGACACGGAATGTGATAGGATAAGTGTGGTGAGATCTTTTCGTGGGGTCACTTTTTTCATTTTTTGTATATGTACTTTGGTCATTTCATTGATTAACTTAGTGTTAGTCTGTTGTTCCGTGTGAACGTATTTGAAAAGATCTGTGTTATCATATATTATATGTTCATCGGATGTTGTATATGTTTTTGATTGATTACTATGATTACTTACTCCTACTTGGATATCTTTTATCTTAGCCCTAGTGAGTACATTGAGTAGGTATGGTATGTGTTTCAAGTCAAAAACACGAGGTAAAGTCTGTGATTCCAATTTTAATGGTTATCTTGATTATGCATTATTAATTTTGTGTTTTAATTGCTTGCAGGTTTATTGGATATCAAGGTGGAAATTTGTTGGGTTTTGATACCTAATAAATCTCGGGTGGTGATATAAAACATCGTATTATATTTTTACAGGCGTTGGCCAATGTTGAATTGATTAGTAACAACCAAATTTCGACCTGAAAACAACATGAACCATTGGAAGTAGCTTAAGGAATTGATATTGTTTGTAACTCATATATTCATCTATTGAACGGCTCTTGAATCTTGACTCATTTAGCCCCTCTCTTGGTCCAATTATAGCCAAACCTATATCTATATATATGATTGTTTAGCCCTAGCCATTTTTTGTGTGTGATTTGCGTAAAATAAAAGAAAACATAGCTGTGCAATTGAGAGAAAAACAGTGGTTGTACTTTGTGCTTTGGAAAAACTGGTGGCTACCTTTGCTTTGTTCTTCCTCTTCGTAAATTATTTTTTATTGCTTTCTTCTTGCCTTTATATCTGCACATCAACACCAATATTATCAAAAGAAACTCAGCAATATGAAAAACAATGAAGAGGAAAAAATTTGGAACAGAGAGAATTGGACTCTCTTTTTCTTTGATTGAAGTTTTAATCTACTCAATTGATTCGTTAGTACATAGATTCTTATTTATAAACATAAGTTTGCCATCTACAATGTTTACTAACTAACTGAAAAGCTAACTATTTAACTAACTCTTTCAACTACTTTTTCCAGCTCAGCATCTCTAATTGATTTTAACTACCAGCCACTTCAGCTTCGATTCCAGCTCCAGCTTCGGCTGATGGTTGAGCTGTAACATCCCCCTTCAAGATGGACTTATGTAAATCTATGATTCCCATCTTGTTAAGCAAGAAACGAAATTGATCTTCCCCTAAAGCTTTTGTAAGAATGTCAGCCAGTTGATGTTTGGAAAAAACATAAACCGTCTTAATCAGATTTTTCTGTAATTTCTCCCTTACGATATGGCAATCTATGTCTATATGCTTCGTCCTCTCATGAAAAACTGGATTTGAGGCTATGTGCAAGGCTGCCTTATTGTCACAACACATCAATGCAGGCTTCAAATGATCTACCCCAAGATCTTCGAGTATTCCTAACAACCAAATCACTTCACAGCAGGTTGTGGCCATTGCTCTGTACTCGGCTTCAACTGATGACTTTGATACAGTTGTTTGCTTTTTAGACTTCCACGAAATCAAAGCTTCACCAAGAAAAACATAATGCCTCGTTATAGACCTTCTACTATCTGCACATCCTCCCCAGTCTGCATCACAGAATGCCTTTAGTTGCAAATCAGATGTGCTGGACATAAAAATCCCTTGTGTTGGAGCATGCTTAATATATCTTAGAACTCTATGTATTGCATCTAAGTGAGGTTGTCTTGGTGCTTGGATAAATTGGCCAAGTGTCTGAACAATAAAGGTCAGATTAGGTCTTGTGATAGTTAGGTATATCAACCTTCCAATCAGCCTTCTATACTTTGCAGGATTGGTTAATAGATGCCCCTCCTCACGAGAGAGTTTCAAGTTTTGCTTCATAGGAAAATTTGAAGGGCAAGCACCAGTTAAACCTGAATCTTGTAATATATCAAGTGCATATTTACGTTGCGAGATGGTAAATCCAGCAGAAGATCTAGCAATCTCCGATCCTAGAAAATACTTGATAGTACCAAGATCTTTACTTCTAAAAGTGGAATCCATATGAGATTTGAGAGCATCAATGCAAGGCATATCAGAACTTGCAACAATTATGCAGTCGACATAAACCGGCAACACCATAAATGTATTAGAATTCTGCAATATTAATAAAGCATGATCATGTTGAGATTGATTAAAACCATATTGTAGAAGACATTGACTGAATTTGATATTCCACTGTCGAGATGCTTGTATTAAGCCATAAAGTGACTTCTTAAGTTTACTAACTGAATTAGGAAAAGACGAAGAGTAGCCAAGTGGTAGAGTCATGTAGACCTCCTCATCCAATTCCCCATTTAAAAGGTATTGTCAATATCAAGTTGATGCACATGCCAATTTCGAGCTGCAGAAATGGCCAGCAATGTTCTCACAATTACTAGCTTAGCTACTGGTAAGAAAGTGTCTGAGAAGTGTAATCCTTCGACTTAAGTGTAGCCTTTAGCTACAAGTCTAGCCCTATAACGTTCTATGTGCCATCAGACCTGAATTTTACCTTATATACCCATCGGCAACCAACAGATTTTTTGCCAGAATGTAAGGTAGTTAATTCCCAAGTTTGATTCGCTTCAAGAACAGCAATCTCAACTTGCATAGCTTTTCTCCAATGCTCAAATTTTATAGCTTGATAGTAATGTGAGGGCTCAAAAGTAGTGGAAACCGAGAGACAAAAGCTTGTAAAAGAGGGTGATAATTTGTTATACTGTAAGGATGAAGTTAAATCATGAGGAGTACTAACCTTATTCGATCTCCTTGAACACATGGAGCGAGATTGATCTGATGAAGAAGTAAGGAGGTTGCAATAATACTATTCAAGATAGCTAGGAATGCTCCTAATTCTGAAAGATCTGCGAGGCATATTGGTAAAGATTGTACAATTGGATTGGAGGTATCCAATTCTTGAGAAGGAAGATATTTGGGAAAGACAAAGGAATTATCATAGGAAGTTGAGGTTAAATTTTTGTAAAGAAAGATGTGTTCGTGAAAAACTACATCTCGAGATATGAAGGAAGTGTGGAGATCAAGATCATAGAGTTTATATCCCTTGACACCGTAAGGATATCCAAGAAATATGCACCTACGAGCTCGGGAAGCAAATTTAAACGATTGTGGGATAAGGTAGAGGCAAAACATAGGCTTCCAAACACTTTGAGGTGAGCATAGGCCGGAGGTTTATTGTATAGGATCTCAAATGGAGACTTGTTTTGCAGTAGAGGGGTTGGTGTACGGTTAACGAGGTATGCTGCAATTAGGACAGCTTCTCCCCAGAATTTGAGAGGTAAATTGGCTTGAAAAATGAGTGCTCGTGAGACATTTAGTATGTGTTGATGTTTACGCTCAACCACACTATTTTGTTGTGGTATAGCAACACAACTTTTTTGTTGAATAATTCATTTTTCAGCACAAAAGATTCTCATATCAAGGTCAGGGCATTATCAGTGCGACGCTGTTTTATTTCGATTTCTTTGACTTCTTTTTAGACTCTATCATTCCCAAACTATTTTTACTATAACTTGGACTCAATAAATCATATTTTGGCTTTGATTACAACTCAATAGACTCCTAATACAATCCAACTAAAAGTTGATTTTGACTAAGGAAATTGCCAATTAAAAATTTGGAAATTGCTAATTATAATTTGGATTTAACACTCTAAATGCTAGGTTATTCGTTGAGAGTGGCACAGCCGTAGAGGTTGTGAGGGATGACATCGGACGGTTCACGGGAGAAGAGATGGCGAAATCAATACATAATGTGGTTGTAGAGAAGAAGACTAAAGAAGCCATGAGGTGGAAGCTATGGAATTGAGAAGGAAGATGAAAGAAGAAGAAATGTCCATTAATGAAACATCAGAGCTGCTATTGCCGTTTTGTATTAAATATAAGGAGAAACAGTGACTTCTGGCCCTGCCTAAGATTGTTTTCAAATTTGGATATTTACTCATTGAAACATTTCTCAAAATGGGCTAGAAATATTAAGTGGTCCATTTCACTATTAGAGGAATAATCTCCATTGGAGAGTATTTTATTCAGTTAGCAACAGTGTTCTATCCATCCATTCATCCGTCTCACTATCCATACAGAATATGTGAGCACGTAAATAAGTTTTGCTGCAAATCATGTATAACTAAGGAGCAACCACTACAATATTGATCCTTGTCTTCACCTTATGTACATTTATGAAAGAAAATTAGTCAACAAACTTAAAATAATGCTTATGAAAATCAATCATGAGTTTGGCTTGGAAAAAAACTGTTTTTTTTATTTTTCCTTTTTTTTTTTATTCCTTTAGTATCTGCCAAGTTATGCTTAGTTCAATTGAAAATGATATTTTGCTTTCCTTTCAAATAGACCTTGAAATAGCAATAATTAACCCACTGACCAATAAGAAATATCTGGTGATGCACCAAGAAGCACCTATCTTTCTTGACTTTCTCAATCTTTTAACTTAATGATGATATCTATATCTATAAACCATGACATCTCATTATCTGAATTCTTGACATTCTACAACTTTCGTTCATGGAGACACAACAAGCTAATCTAAGAATTCTAATCTTCCCATGGTTGGCTCATGGTCATTTATTCCCCTATCTTGAGCTAGCAAAGAAACTATCCCAGAAAAACTTCAACATATATTTCTGTTCTACAGCTATCAATCTTGGTTCAATCAGTAAATCCATTGAAAAGAACTTCTGTGATTTCTCAATACAACTAGTAGAACTCCACTTACCCTCATGGCCTGAACTTCCTCCCCATTACCAGACAACCAAAAACGTACCTCCTGATCTTATGCCGAAGCTCTATCAGGCTTTTCAATTGTCAAGCTCCAGCTTCGCAGAGATCATCAAAAACATAAAGCCCGATTTGGTAATTTATGATTTCTTCCAACCATGGGCTGCCACACTTGCTTCATCAGTAGGTATTCCAGCAGTTTATTTTTCCACTTCAGGAGCAGCAGCGTATTCTTTTTACCATCACCACTTTACATATGTGAATGCTATTTTCCCTCACAAGGAAATCTATCTCCGTGATTTTGAAAGACCGAATCTGGAGGCTGTACTCAAAAGTAAAGACGCGGGTGAAGATTTTGCTTTTGGTAACTTCAAACGATCTTGTGAAATTGTTTTGATGAAGAGCTGCCAGGGAATTGAGGGGAAGTATCTTGAATCATTATCCGTCTTGTGCCAGAAAAAGATGTTACCTGTCGGACCACTTGTTACACATACTGACAATGAAGAAGAGTATTCAGATATCATGCAGTGGCTAAGCAAGAAAAATCAGTTCTCAACTTTGTTTATCTCCTTTGGTAGTGAAAACTACTTGTCCACAGAGCAGATTGAAGAGATGGCACGGAGCTTGGAGCTTTGTGATGTTAACTTTTTATGGGTAATTAGATTTCCTGCTGGGGAGACAACTGGTATACAAAAGGCACTACCAGAGGGGTTTCTTGAGAGGGTGCAAGAGAGGGGTAAGATTGCCCAAGGATGGGCACCACAAGCTAAAATTTTGGCGCATTCAAGTATTGGTGGTTTCTTGACTCATTGTGGATGGAGTTCTATAATGGAAAGCATTTATTTTGGTGTTCCTGTTATAGCCATGCCTTTGAAATATGATCAGCCTATAAATGCTAGGCTGGTGGTGGAGGCTGGCGTTGGGGTGGACGTAGCAAGAGACGAGAATGGACATTTTAAGAATGAAGATGTAGCGAGCGCCATACATAAAGTTCTCGTAGATAAGAGTGGAGAAGACATGAGGTCAAAGGCTAAGCAATTAAGCAATAAAATGAAAGATGAAGAAGAAGTAGCCATAAATGAAACAGCAAAGCAGCTATTGCAGCTATGTATCAAGTATAAGCAGCAGCAGTGATGTCTTAACTTATCCAAGTGTAAGTGAATCATTTTCACCAAGCAGAAGGAATAATCTCTTTGTGCTATAGTTATATTGCATTTCACAGAGAATGTATACATGCAATTTATTGTACTAAATTGATTTTGTCCTGTCTTGCACCAAAAGAACTGGGTAAGCATACAAAAGTTTTAGGTTGCAAGTTGTGCACGTGTCATGCTTTTAATGAAAAAATGAATCTAGCTTGTACATCACAGCCTTTGAACAGCAGATGCAAGTGATCTTAGAGGGTTCCAGAGCTTCATAGTGTTAACTTCACGCGCCATCGTATTTCAAGTTGAAAAGAGTGTCATGCATAACAAGATTTTTGTAAAGCCAATTCTGTTCTCTTGAGCATTATTAAAATCTATAGCATCGATTTCAGACCTTTTGCTCTTTAAGATCAAGAGGGACATTTTATTTGGCTGTAACGTAGACTCAAGATAGAGGCTAATTAAAGAATCGGATTAGTGAATAAACAAGACACGAATGAAAAAAGGTTCTTTGCAACTGTGCCATATGTAGCAAATGCACAATTCTCAACTTTTTTACTCTACTTTTCCACGAGAGACTTTTTGAATTTTCTTCGTTTGTCATTTTTCTCCTTCATTTTCTCATTTTGGTTGTTTAGCGCATCTTTGAATATTGCTTAAATTCTAGCTTTTTAAAGGAATTTAATACTTTGAAATTCAAACTTCGGCTAAAATAATAAGACAAAAGGCGCCCCCTTTCCGTTCTTTCTGACCTTTGCTACCTACTAATGTTTTCGTCTCCAATTTTACCCTTGATTTGGAGGTCCAAAAGACCAAAAAGTCATTGACTTCAAATGCAAGGTATTAATTTGCTCGATAACGTTATTAGGGGTGGTTCGTCTCTTTGCATAATGTGGTGAGAATGCTTCCAAAACTTGGTCACCAAAAAAGCGATTTTCTCAATAAAATTGAGGCTGTTTGGGAGCAATGAAATTTTGATTTTAATCAGAATTCAAGCTGTTGGGCCGTCATAATTGACTGAAATTTCAAAATTTCCTTGGCTTGGTCAACAAAAGGTGGCTGGTTAACGGTAATAATTTCACTATTAATTGCTCACAGACAAGGCCTATTCACCCCTTTTCTTTTCTATTTTTTTAGTACCACCCTTCATTCCTTCAATGAAAATTCTCCCTACTTCTTAATCATATAAGGGACATGGAATATAGATTGAATTATGAAACTAGAACAGCTTAGGGTAGGTAATATAGGCTGGCAAAGAAAAATAAAAGGTTTAGTCATCCAACTACACGGCCAAGCTTACGAGCTTTCAAGTTGGAAACCCAAAAAGATTAACACTCTTACTACACCATAACATCCCATTATATATGAATTTTTGAGGGTCTGCAATTTTCAGCTTCCAGGAAAGAGAGAGTTGAGAGGAATGAATTTCAGTCATGGAAAGAGAAGACAATCTAGTACTCTTCGAATTCTAATGTTTCCATGTTTGGCTCATGGTCATATATTCCCTTTGTTTGAATGCCAAGAAACTGTCCCAAAAAAATTTCCACACATTATTTTTGTTCTGCTGCAGTCAATCTTAGTTCAATAAGTAAAACCATTGGAAAAAGCTTCTGTGATTTCTCAACACATCTCGTAGAACTCCATTTACCATCATGGCCTGATCTTCCTCCCCATTATCACATGACAAAAAATGTGCCGCCTGATCTTATGCAGATGCTCCATCTAGCCTTTCAATTGTCAAGTTCCAGCTTTTCAGATATCATCAAAACCATAAAGCCTGACTTGCTAATATATGATTTATTCACACCATGGGCTGCCACACTTGCTTCATCACTAGGTATTCCTGCAGTTTTTTTGCCACATCATATTCTTTTGAACACCATCAATTTACATATGGCAATGCTACATTTCCCTTATCAAGCAATCTATGAAAGGGACTATGAAATAGCAAATGTGGAGGTTCCACTTAAGATTAAAGATGCAGGCGAAGAATTTAATTTTGGTAGCTTCAAACGATCTTGTGACATTGTTTTGATAAAGAGCTTCCGCGAATTGAGGGGCAGTATCTTGACTTGTTGTCTGTCTTGTGCCAGGAAAAACTGTTACCTGTAGGACCACTTGTTACACAACCTGATAATGAAGAAGATTATTCAGAAATCATGCATTGTCTAAGCAAAAAAAATCAGTTCTCAACTTCGTTTATCTTCTTTGGTAGTGAAAACTACTTGTCCTGGGAGCAGATTGAAGAGATGGCACGTGGCTTGGAGCTTTGTGACGTTAACTTTATATGGTTAATTAGATTTCCTGCTGGGGAGACATCTGGTATACAAAAGGCACCACCAGAGGGATTTCTTGAGAGGGCGCAAGAGAAGGGTATGATCGTGCAAGGATGGGCACCATAAGCTAAAATTTTGGCAAATCCATTGTGGATGGAGTTCTATAAATTATAATGGAAAGCATTTATTTTGGTGTTCCTGTTTTGGCCATGCCTTTGAAATATGATCAGCCTCTAAATGCTAGGCTGGTGGTCGAGGCTGGCATTGGGGTTGAGGTTGCTAGAGATGAGAATGGACAATTTAAAAATGAAGATGAAGCAGACGTCACACATAAAGTGCTTGTAGAGAATAGTGAAGAAGACATAAGATCAAAGGCTAATGAACTGAGCAATAAGATGAAAGACGAAGAAGGAGAAGTAGCCATTAATGAAACATCAGATCAACTATTTCATCTTTGTGTCAAGTAATCTTATCTTGACTCATCCAAGCATTGCCAATACCACACACAAGGAATAATCTCTGTTGGGGAAAACCTTTCTATCAGAAATCGTTGGGATTTTGACTTTGATCTAAGACTCTATAAAGAGAGCCCTTCATATCTTTGATTTTGTGTACGAAGGAAGTGTATTGAAGACTTAACAAAACATGAATTGTATACTGGTTAATGCATAGCTTACCGGTCTTTTTACAAGCATAAAACATAAGAAAAATATATGAATTTATGCATGAACTTTGCTGTCCTTGAAGAACAGATCAGAGGA